TCTCTCCTCCGGTACACGGCACCATAAGACGTAGTGTGGAGTTCCATTAGGTACGCTGTGGTGGCTGTACTGCTCCAGCCGTCTCCTTTGTGTTTGTTTGTTTCCCCCTGTCTGTGTTGTTGTGTGTGCGTGGTGGCTGTCACTCCTGGCTCCCGGCTCAACCTCCACTCACCTGCTGCAATCAGCTGTGCACCCTCCCCGACTACACACCTGCTTTCCATCAAGCCATTTACAACGACATATCAACGGAGGCTCCACAACCTTTCTCCGCCAGATCGTCAAGTATCAGCCGTATCTCGCGTCTCTCCTCCGGTACACAGCACCGTAGTGTGGAGTTGCATTAGGTAACGCGAGATACGGCTGATACTTGCGCATTAGTTTCTGTTATGGATCAGTATCAACAGTCCTGCCAGTAACGTTACTATATTATCAATGCTACTTTAGTTATAGCCTGATATATGATAGCTAACTTCACAATGTTGTGATGTGACGTTAGCTAACATTCTGTAGCTAACGCCGGTCACTCACTAAGATAGCTGCCCAGTTCTCCACTGGTTCTCCTCACACCACAGCTCCATTTCTCTCCGATGGCCGTTATTTCTTCTAATCCTTGGCTGCTCCTGGTCTCTTGGACGCCTAGCAGGCTCATAATTATAAGGTTGTGGTCCGTCATATGCATTCGAATATTCATGTTTCGTGTCTTCTGTGTCGAAACTAGCATTGGGATCCATGTTTATTAATACGTTACACTGGCTGCTCTCCCCCTTGTTTCCCCTTTGTTACGTCACACGCGGGAGGTCACGTGCCGAGGCTTTTTTATGCGGAAGTGAACATTTCTTACAAAAACGACGCCAGATGTCACTGTAGTGTATATTTCTGTATATTCTTTTGAAAATCTAGTGTATTCATCATTTTCCTACACATTTATTCACAGGTGTCTTTAACCTGGAAGTTGCTCTTTAAGCAGCATTCTCAATTCAGATATTTTACTCGTATTTTTAGACCACTGTACTTGTATCTTTATCTAAGTAAAGGCTTTGAGCACTTCTTCCAGCATTGCTCTACTCCTAGTTGCCTTTGTTGGTTTGCTCTTGACCTGCTCTTACCTCTCTCGCAAATCTTCGAGGAAACCTGGGCTTCCAAGTCCTTCAGCGCATCAAAGTCATTCTCAGAATAAACCCTTTGAGAATCACCGCTGATCTCCTTCAGCTGGGTGGGGTTGTGATTCTTCACTCCGATGGCGTAGATCTCCACTCCCTTGTTCCTCAGAGCCTCAGCGGGACCCCTGACGTCATCTTGTGCCTTGCCGTCTGTAATCACTATCAGATTCTGCCTCATGCCAGGACGCCCTCCTTTGGCCGCATCGAAATACCTTGAAACCTCTGTGATGGCCTTTCCTGTGCGCGTACCTTCATTCATCTGCTTCATATCATCAATGGCTCTCAAAATGTCATCTTTGCTGTAGTATTGGTTGAGGGGAAACTCCAGATTGTAGCTGGTACTGAACTGCATGACACCGACGTGCACTTTGTTCTCCCCGATGGTCGACTTGCTGATGACAAATTTCATGAAGTTTTTCATTTTCTGAAACTCTTCCTCATCGATGCTCTCGGAGCTGTCAGTGAGGAAAAAGATGTCGCTCTGTATGTCTCTGCAGGCTGTCGACACAGAACACAGAAATGTTAATGAGGAGTTCCTTTTTTTGCACTTCTCTTACTTTCATTGGGTATCATTTAGAAGGTATTTTGTTAACTTAGGTTCAGGAACAGGGCAATGACTCAATATGCAGCCAACACATCCGGCCACTGTTGTTTCCATTCTCTCAACCCACCCGCCCTCTCCCTTCCACTCATACATTCCCCTTTCGACCTCATCATTAACCAAACCCATTCATCCCTCCACGCTTCGAACCATTCATCTTTTTATCCCCACACCCACCAATCTCTTCATCCCTTCCTTCCCTCATCTCTAAATCCACCAATTGCTTCATCCCTACCTTCCCTTATCCCTACATCCAGGCAATAATAATCATAATATAACCCTAAAGACCCTTCGATCCTACCACCTATCACTATTATGATCGGTTATTAATGATATCTATCAACGTAACTTTTACAATTCTTTTTAGCTGCCATCTCTGAAGTATGAAAAGCGTCGACACTGTTCGTTCCTCTCTGTCTGGCCTCTTCTGTTAAACATTTAACATGCCGTTAACTAAGTTTATGTTTCAAGGCTGGGTACGATATGGGAAAAAGCCCTTCTCTCACTTCGTCTCTCCATTAAAACAAATATGTGTTCCTTACCTTCTTCAGAACAGATTTCTCTGATGATTTCATTGTCGATGGATTTCAAGGCATCAAAATTTTTGACGAAGATAGTCCTCTTGGAGTCTCCTGCAATCTCTTCTAGCTGAGTTTGGGATGAATTTTTCACCCCAATGGCGTAGATAATGATTCCCTGCTCCCTCAGTTTTTCTGCAGGAGCCTTCACCTCATCAGCTGACTTTCCATCTGTGAGGACAATCAGGTACTTTGGGGCTTCATGACCACGCGTGACCGCCGCTCTCTTAAAGAGTCGGCCCATGTGTGAAAGTGCTGTTCCTGTGTTCGTCCCACCTCCTACGCCAATTATACTGTTGATGGCATTCACCAGTGACTCTTCATCGGAGTAGGTTGTCAGATCAAATTCATCCGTTGGGGAATCAGCATATTTCACAAGCCCAATGCGGACTTGTTGTGGCCCAATTTGGAAGTGTTCTATAAAGTTGTTGATGAAGTTCTGCATTTCTGCGAAGTCTTGCCATGAAATGCTTCCTGAGTCATCCATAAGGAAGAAGATGTCTGCTTCATCCGTTTTTACACAAACTAAATTGGAAAACAATAATAAGACGTTGTTATTTTCACATATTCAACAAGAGAAAGGTTAAAAATGAACATTCATTTGGAAATATTTGAGTTAGATTAAATACAAAAAGATGGCTCTTCAAGGGGAAAGTACCATTTTAAATCCCCATAGCACAAACAAACCAAATAGATCTAGTAGATTTCTGTCTTTCATAGTTCATTGAGGGTCAAGTCAAAATGTATTATTGATCCACAAATCCCCTTCTCATTTTAACTTTAACTTTGTCTTTACATTTATTTAATTCGCTCTACAACATGAATACAAATGTGGTTTTTAAAGTTGACTTTTTGTGTTTATGGTATTTCCTGTAAGACCAGAAATTGTTAAACTACAGATTGTTTTGCCAAAGTAAAAGTAGTTATACTACAGTGTAGAAATACCATCATCAACATATACTCAAATGCAATATTATGAAAATACTCAAGTAAAGTCCAGTGCATAGCTTAAGTTACTTATTTACTTTCCACCAGTCCCAAAGACAACTCCAACAAACAAACAAAAAACAGTTTCAAACCTTCTTTGGCTTCTGTTTTCATTGGGACTGCTTTGGCAATGATGTTTTTGCACAGGATTTTCTGCAGGGTCTGCTTCAGGTGTGTCAGCTCGGTGAAACTATCCCGGATAAAAACATGCTGATCAGGAGGGTGTGAAGCCATTTCCAACAGTTCGCTCTCGATGGCATCTTTTATTCCTAAGGCGTAAATGGTAACACCGGCTCGACGCAGAGTAATTGCTGCTTCGCTGACTTCATCCTGGGATCTACCATCAGTGATGACCACCGCCACCTGTTGGACACCGTTTTCTTTCCTGCAGCCATTCTCTTTAATAAAGACGTTGTCCCGAGTAAAATTCAGGGCCTCTCCAGTCCTCGTACCGCCTCCATTGTAAGGCAGGATCTTGATGTACTCAAGCAATTCATCCTTGTCGTTGAATGAGTTGAGGAAGACCTGTGGTGTGGAGACATCGTTGTACGTGACAATGCCCACTCTGACTCTCTTCGGACTTACATCCAAGCTGCTCACGACCAAGTGCAGGAAGTTGCGCATGAGGCGAAAGTTTTCATTTCCAATGCTTCCCGACTCGTCAACGATGAACACGATGTCTGCCACCTTGGCTCCTTTGCAATCTGTAAAAGGAGTGTAACTTGAGTCATCTGCTACAAAGGGACTTTATTACAGGTATACTTGTAACCAGCGATGTAGCAGAGCCTCACCTGTCATTCTCCAATGTAACGAACAAATACAAAATAATAAATAATAATAACAAAATAAAATGTGTCGAACTCCGGTACAACTACATGGGAGCGATGAGAAGTGAGGCAGGGACGAGCTCTGCCTCACGTTACCCCACATAAACTTATTTAGTGCCCGCGCTCCAGCCAGTTACTGTGGGGTGAGGTGAGGCACAGATGAGCTCTGCCTCACCTCAAAATGCGTCACCCCACAGAAACTGGCTGGAAAGCGGGCACTAAGCGCATGCCTGTTACCATCTCACTGCAGGTCACCAATGTAATGTTTGTAGATCCCTTTATTACATTTATCCTCGCCATCCATAGTCTCTAAATAACTTATTTCATATATATGATATTTAGGCTCGCTGGTCTCATCATATGGCATAGCAGACATAACCTGCAGGGGGCGCACGTGAGCCCACAGGTTCTTGTTGCTACTGTTATTCTACACAGAGACGGATAGACACAAACAACAAACTAGACTTTTGAAACTACAGGAAGATAAGGAGGACTTTTACAAACAACTAATAGAGATTGTTGTCCAGAAGGAGAGCATGGACTTCATCTTCAAGTCAAGGTAAGACCACAATTGTAATGAAAATGGGATCTTACTAAGAAAGAACAATCCAATATTTAAACTAAACTACATTTTTTGGGTATCCTTTTGTTTAACAGTCTTGTTAAAATGAATCGAAACATCAGACAAAAAAATCTTTTGAAAATAACAGAATATTTTGATTAAGGTCAAAATATAATAT